AAACTGGAAGACAGAAGGGGAATGTATCATAGCCTTGTGCAAAACCTCCAGAGTAGAGGCGCCAGTCTTGGTTTGGCGTCTGCAATTTAGGTGAATTTTATCAGCGATCAAGTAGCATTCTCCTTACCCAACTTACCTGTAGTGAGTGAGTCGTGATGCCCGGTCCATGACAGGTGACTTTTTGAAGATGACTTAAAATTAATCGTGATGCCCCGCCACTACCTTGTGTCCCACCGGGAACGGCCCACTGTAGAAGGGATGAGGGAAAGAACATGGGTCCAAGCCTCCAGCCAGTTGGTGGCTTCGACATGGAAGTTCAATCTCGAGTGTGGCTCTGGATTCGGACCAACCTTGACCGAAAAACAATATCGGCAATCTCGAGTCAATTCTAGTAACGTCAATTGGGTCTTTCTTAGACGAACACGCTGCATTCTGGGCAATTGCCTGCCGCTCAAGTCTTACCGCCGACGCCAGGCTATGACTGCGGCTATGCACGATCCGCTACCTAGATGCACACGTGCATCAACGACTGCGAAGAAAGCTGTTAGTAAACAGTGCTATAATTAACGTGATTCAATATGGTAGAATTCATACCATCAACAAGACTGACCATCTTCCTACCACAAAATCGAAACTAGGACAGCGACGCCTCGAGCATCTTCCTGTTCAGAGATCATATGCCACCTTCATGACTCGTGAGGCGAATCTTGTAGGACGTTCTGCCTTGAGTGTCTACTAAGAACTTAAGCCAACAATTATATTCTATCAACGCTTGTTGAGTTTTTTCCTCAGGTTCCACTAGTTTCAAATTCCACCGTCATCAGTGACCTGACAAACACGGGTGATACACAATGCAGTGTTGGAATTCGGATAGCCGACGCGGAATCCTGACCAGTCATATCCGCTAAGACAGCTTTCATTCGTCCCATCTCGCAGGCCCTCTGGGACAGGGCACTTGCTGGTTGAGTGCGGGGGTATTAATTCAAATGACTGCTTGATTGATTTGTGCTGGCACAGTCTCATGTCAGAACCTCCGGGGTTCGCCTGTGCAATCATTCAAGAAGCAAGTCTGGCCATTTTTTACGCCTTTCCCGGTTGTCCAACATCCCAAGAACCACCAACGAACTATCGTCGCTGTCCTACGCCGAAATTTCAAATAAACGTTATATTTAGATGTGGCCTTCTACCTGTGCAGAGTCCACTGAGTTGCTGAACCCGTCGAGCTGCTAATGATGCAGCCAATAGTGCTCTGGCCCGGCTGATAGTCTACTGCTGGCAATTGACAAGTCCCCAGGTTAATAGGCACCAGTCAAGACATGCTTATCATTACCCAGTTACCTCATTCTAAGTATCCGTTGCCACTCTGAAGTGTGGACATTGCCGCTTAAGTGTACATGATAGGTCAGATGCCGGATGGGTAACTTCTAAGGGACGGCCCGCATGCATCCGTCATAAATTTACGTCAACTTTCTTGATCCTCTAGAAGACACTCAGTGAGACACAATTGTTTACTTGAACGTTTTCCATTTCAGGCTGGAGCACGCGGCTTTTCCTACTCAAACAAGAATATCCAGCTCTTGGCAGTCAGCACAGTACACAAATTTGCAAGGGGTTCGCGCTGGACCAAGAGCCTGATTTGGAAAAATTGTGGTGTCAGGTATTAATATATTCACAACCAACGAGCAAACAAACCAACTACCAAGGGTCAACAGCAAATAAGAAATAGGCGCCAAGAAATAAGGATTTCTACACAGTGGAGAAGAAATTCAGAAAAGTCTTCCTGATTCGGCGTCCCAACAACTACCTTGTTGCGGCATGAAGCTGAAGGTAATTGCATCCTACTCGTGGAGTCAGATGTGCATCTCACAGCCACTCCACGCCGCATAGCTACATACGGCGATATGGGTCTCCAACTCCGGCCTTGGATTTCCATTCCCCTCCGTTTTTTTCACTCTTTTTCCATACTCTCAGTACACACAAGAGGTTATCATACGCCCTAGTTTCAGTCACCATGCTTCATGTCCTCGCAGCTATTCTCACGACTCTAATCGGGACCGTTGCCGGCCAAGGGGCATGTTTCGTGCCCAACGGTACCAACAGACATGATTTGACCAATGCCAACATTCAAAAATATGCGTCTTGCGAAAGTTCTGGACATGGCATGTGTTGCAATATCGCAGGAGACAAGTGTCAGGCGGATGGCCTGTGTTGGAACGAGGAGCACAAGCAGCTCTGGCGGGAAAGCTGTACAGACCCTACCTGGGAATCACCCAAATGCTTGAAATTGTGTGTCACGGATGATTACGGTAAGCTTCCTTTCTTGAGAAAACCAATCATAGTTACATGAAATTTCAATTGTCATACACTGGCTGTCTGAAAAAGCGATTGACTAGTGAGAACGGTGTGAGTGCTGACAACAGCCAAGAATCAGATGACGGTATACCAGGAAGTGGAATGGATGTCGTTATTACCAAACGTAGCGATGGTAGCTATTGCTGCGGCGAGGGCCAGAATGCCTCAATCTGCTGCATGGCTGGGAGAGGAGTGTATATCGTCGATGGCAAAATTATCACCTCTTCTGCCGCTTCTTCGTCCAGCACGATTGCCCTCACAACCTCTCTGGCGACACTTGGGACCCCATCCGCGATCTCTTCTGCGATCGCCTCTGCGTCTCTTTCTGCCGATGCAAGCTCAACATCTCTGATCACCTCATCGACTCCTCTCGAATCCACAACAAGCAACACCAACTCAACTTGGGACAATCGAAATGGGATCATCGGTGGCGCTGTGGGTGGAGGTGTCGGTCTGGCGATAGTTGGCATCGTGGCTGCGTTCTTTTGGTACAAGAAAAAGAAGAGGAACACAGAAACAGCGAAGTTTGAGGCAAGACTGGGGAAGGAAAGCGCCAAAAATTGGCCGGCTTCATCGACTCAACCCCAGTACCCTTACGAGCTCCCAGTCAAGCCAAACCCGATTGAGCTGGCATCCGAATCACCACCAGCTGAGTTAGAATCAGAATCACTGTCAAGAAGATGATTATTTATGTACACATCGGTCGGAAGTAATAAGCTCGAGCCGCACAAAGGAATTATAAAGGCCTCTCAGTCTAGATGTCTTTCTACTGGCGTCATTAAGCCCCGGTAGCTTGGCCGATAGTTGAACAACTTGCTTGCGAAGAAGATGGGAAATAGTGCTTCGAAGACGATCCGCTGGTTCTATATTAATCTTTGTACACTCTAACCTTGTAATCGTCTCTCCATTTGTCCTCGATTATGACAAGTTGAGCCTTCTGCACCTTGTCTAGGTATTGGTCTTCTGGAACATCCTTGTAGTCGTCTCGATCAATATCCATGTAGCCTTCTTTCGCAACAGTTCTTGGTGTAATCATTAACGAGCGTCCTGTAAAATAGATCTTGTTAGAGGATATACTCGTAAATAGTTTGGTTTCTGAGACTGACCATTGATAGATTTGTCGCAAGCGACTCTCATCATGCAGTTGGCAACATCCTCTTGCTCCCCAAATTCGACCCCGTGGTCGATCAACCATTTTTCATACTCGGCAGTACGAATCGCACTCTTGATCCAGCACGGAGCTACGTAGATGATCCGGATGCCTTGCTCCCAACTAGAGCGTCTGGCAGTTCTCATGAACCCATGGAGACCGTACTTGGTGGAGGTGTATTCCCAATTGCCGGGGGAGTCAATCCATCCAACCATGCTTCCTGTGATGATGAAGCATCTGTCCCTGTCGTCGGTTTCTGGCTGTTGTCTGAAGTAGTGCACTGCAAGTTTCCATGTGTAGAAGGACCCCTTGAGGTTGACATCGACGATGTTGAGATTAGGCTTGACCGGCTCTCCATTTGGATCATCCAGATTCCATAGGCTGTCTCCCGAACTTCGACTAATGCCAGCGTTTGCGATGACGATGTCTACGCTTTTGGAAGGACTTTGGCTTTTGGCTGTCTCGAACATTGCCTTCTGCTGATCCCAGTCCCTGATATCGCACTCCACAAACGTACAACATACGCCGTTTGCATTCAGCTCTTTCTCGATGTCTTTGCCCCTGGCATTGACATCGCCGAACGTAACAAAAGCACCAGTTGCGACGAAGGCTCGCACACATGTCTCGCCCATGCCATTGGCACCACCTGTGATAATGACTGATTTCCCCCTGACATTATTGCGATCAGGGATGATAGTATGGTCTATTGGACCGTTGCATGTGTACTGTGGGAGAGGCATGGCTGCGGCGTCTTGATCTAAGAGCTTAGATCTGCTCGTCAGGGAAGAAACTAGTGAGGGAAAGATGAGTAGAGTTTGAACGTTTAGTCTTGAGAGTCGGATGTACTTCGAACGTTCGAATATTTTAATGATGTGCAGAGGCTCGAGCTCTTAATCGACCTCATGTCTCTTTCAAATGTACCTCTCGATGTTACTTGATGTTCTCGGCTCTGCACAACCGGGGCCGAGACAGGAGGGAGGGGAAAATTGGAGTCAGGATTAGACCCGTGAACGTCCCCAAGCTCCCGGCCATTACCCCAGCCCCCCCCCCTTTCCCCCTCCCCCCGCTGGGAAACCGTTTTGGGATAGCCGATGGCAACTCAAGATGGTTGATTTGGTGTGTAGGCTTCGGCAACTCAGACACGGCAACCCAATGAGGACGGTTAGGCCTAATGAGTCCATAGCGTGACTGGCACAATTGTTTAGCTGAGAATCATGTTAATCCGATGAGGCCATTCTCCGTTGGAATTGCCATAGTATGTGCCGGGTCCAATAAAGATAGTGCGGACTGGGCTATGATCAGTAGAGCGGAGCGTGTGTCTCTAAACAACATCTCTCAACCATAAAGACGAAGAAAAGGATTGTTCATCCGAGACTTCACCCTACTGCTCAACCACTTGACATCGTGTGCTCCTGTTCCTCAAAACCGCCTTGGTCAACCTTACTTTCGCGTCCCCTTGGAGCCTTACAGCATCTTTCAACATTATCCTCTTATCAAAATGACTGCTTCCGTTGAAGCACCGGCCACCGCACCGGTCGACCCTGGCCCAGTTGCAACGTCCCGCGTTCCTAATGATGTGCCACGAATGCCGGCACCAGAACTACCGGAGGTTGTCCAGGGCAATACGAAATTTCCGCAACAACCTTCAGTAAGCAATCAAAATGGCGTTTGCGACGATCCTTTCAAGCTCGACACCAAATTCGCCTACTCCCCTCGGAAGATCAAAGTATTCACCATTGGTGCTGGCTTCTCTGGACTGCTCATGGCCCATAAGTTCCAGCACAGATTTCCAGAGATGCGAGATATCGTTGAGCACACAATTTTTGAGGCGCATAGCGAGGTCGGCGGTACCTGGCTAGTCAACAACTATCCCGGCGTGCAGTGCGATGTTCCAGCGCACATTTACGTGAGTGCCCTGCGTCAAGCATCCAATGGAGCCTGAGTGGGCTAATCATGTCTTTAGGCATTTCCATTTGACCCCAACCCGAACTGGAGTCGTTTTTATGCCAGTGGAGCTGAAATCCTCCAATACATGAAAGACACAGTCAAGAAGTGGAATCTTGATCGTGATCTTCAGTTGAACACCAAGGTTGCTGGCGCTGTATGGCAGGAAGAGCTTGGCCAGTGGAAAGTTACGGTAGAACACCAGGGCGAACAGCGTGATGAATTCTGTCACGTCCTGATCTCTGCACAAGGTGTACTTGTTCACGAATCCTGGCCAGATGTCCCGGGTCTACGAGATTTTGAGGGCCACATCACTCACTCCGCTCGCTGGGATCACGATTTTGACTACTCCAACAAACGGATTGCTGTCATTGGAAACGGCTCTTCTGGCATTCAGATCGTTCCTCAAATGGCCAAGCTACCTGGCACCGACGTTCTGAACTTCATCAGAGGACCTGCTTGGGTGTACTATCGCGCGCCTCCATCCAAGCACCTTGGAAGGGACGACCCGGACCCCAACCCACGATACACTGACGAGGAGAGGAAGAGGTTTCATGATCCCGAGTACCATCTCGAGCACAGGAAGGGAATCATTTCACGCACCAACAAGTCCTTCTACATCTTCAGGAAGGGCGAGAACAACAAAGAGGGCATGAGATTGGCAGCAGCGCAGATGGCAGAAAAGCTAGGCCATGACCCCGAGCTGTGTGAGAAGCTTATTCCAAAGTGGGAGTTGGGGTGCCGGCGCATCACGCCTGGGCCTGGCTACCTCGAGTCATTCTTGCGACCAAACTGCAACATCACCAACAGTGCCATCACCAGCGTTTCGAAAAATGGTGTTCACACAGCCGATGGCAAGTTCTATGATTGTGACGTCAGTAAGTAAAAAGTCATCTACTATGTATGACCTGAAGTGTCTGGTTTGCGGCGTATCTGACATGTCTTTAGTTGTCTGTGCGACGGGATTTGACGTTTCCCATCGTCCAAGATATCCAATTGTCGGAAAGGGGAACATCGACCTTGCCACAAGATGGGCTGAGGACCCTGACTCCTATGTCTCAGTTGCTGTCCCAGACTATCCCAACTACTTCATGATGATGGGACCCAACTGCCTAGGTGGTCATGGGTCCTTAGTGGAGTCTCTGAACTGGACAGGAGACTACTTTGTGAAGTGGGTGAAGAAAATGGCTACAGAGGACATCAAATATGTTGAACCAAAGCAAGAGGTCGTGGATGCATTTATCAAGTACAGCGACCAAGTACACAAGACACTCGTATGGAGCGGTGGCTGCAAGAGTTGGTACAAGAGGAACCGTGTCGATGGCAGGGTTACAGCTCTGTTCGGTGGCAGTGCTCACCTTTTCAACCGGATGCTAAGCAACATCCGCGGTGAAGATTTCAACATTTGCTATCGTACATCAAATCCTTTTAGGTTCATGGGCAACGGGTTTACAGAATGGGAAATGGATTCAAAGAGCGACTTGTCTTGGTATGTAGAGAAAGCCGAGGTTTTGGGCAAGGTTTGAGCCCAGCTCGAGGCCGAATCGTTAGACTAGTACTACTATTTTCAGTAACAGAGTGTTTCATCGTTCAGTATGATGCGCTGGCAGTATTGATTCACTTCTATTGTCAGACTACTACTACCCTAGCCTACTCTAGTCATTATGTGCAAAGCCTACATGGACCCGCCTTCGGGGCATTCACCCAGGCACCATGAAGTCCAGACGGTAATCTACGAAAGGTTCAAATAAATCCTCAAACTGATTAAGGAGTGTCTCATGGAATAGCGCATTATCCGGAGACGGGAAGCCCCTTGTTGCTGTGCCATGGGCCCGACCAGTCAACAGACTGTCAGCGATTCCTCCAGTGTGTTGTGTAGCGAATGGAAAAAGGGCAGTCCAGTCAAAGTCATCGAAACCCCCTCTGTCCAATGTCACTGCTTCGACATTTGGTGGATCAGGCATGGCAACACCAGTCTGATCATGGATGGGCTCAATGTTCTCTGCCTCCGGCCTTGTAACTCGTATCGCACCTGAGTTGGTACCTCTCAGACGTGAGAAGCCTTGCCTGATGACGTTGGCGGAACCCCACATGATCTGAAGCTGGTCTGCTGCCCTCACAAGGATGTCAAGACAGTCATTAGCATCTTTGGCTAGGTGCGGGATTTGACAGGCCTGAAGTAGTGGTATGAACGCCGTTCCAGTGTACCAGCAGGTGATTGCCATCAAAAAGCGAGTGTTGCCTCGAGATAAGATATCGCGCAATATTCTGGCAATACATGATGCTGCTAGTATGGCCGGAGGAAGTGCTTCTGGCAGAGTGTTGGCTGAGCGTTTGAGGTGAAGGACAATGATGGTGGTGAGATATGGAAGGTGTAACTGATGCACATCTTTATCAAAGTTCTGAGTGCGGGCTGAGCCGATGGGCAGTTGCAGGTGAGGAGGAAGAGATTTGACCCAGTCTACCAACTCCTGTCTGTGGTGGTCTGGTGATATTTCTGTCGTGGGCAGCGT